GCGGCTTGGCGCCCTCTAGTGGCCGCAATCCGTGTCTGGCCACTCTGGGGCCCGATCCTGTAGCTCCGGCGCAGGGCCTCAAGCCGTCAGATCCTGAGGTCGCAGGTTTGGTTCCCGCCACATGGTCCAGCAGCGCCGGCGGTTCCTTGGGCGCAGCGCCATGGCACAGCCAGGTCCTAGCGCGGCCAGGAGGAAGCCCAGCCGGCACTGCCGCCAATAGCAAGGAGGACGCAGGGCTCAGAGCACGGGTAGGAGCCTGGTGGAGGGGGGTGCAGCCGGGGGCAGGGGTGCAGGAGGAAGGGTGGGGTCTGAGACACGTACCCTTCGCGCTGCCCACTGCAGGAGCTGCTGGACGAGGTGGTGCGGCTCCTCTGCTCTCTGAAACAGTCGCGTCTGAGCGCGGCCGGCCGCTCCAGGGAGGGGCACCTGTGCCCGCTGCAGGAGAGAGAGCATCAGCCAGCCAGAAGGGGGCCAGCCAGGGGGTGGGGGGCAGCCAGCCAGACAGCAGGGGGCACAGGACATGAGCGTGCAAGAGGCACGGTGGGGGGAGCGAGTGGAACAGGAGGGGTGAGGGGTGGGCTGAGTACCGGGATGGGGCCGGAGCCCCGTGTCATTGCTGGGGGGCTGCACAGAGGGTCAAGCTGGGCATTTAATTTCCCAGTGCACCACTCCCCCGCCCCCCCATTACATCTGTGAAGGCACCGCCCCGTCTGTGTGTGACCAGGCAGCAGGGTCCATGGTGAGACCCTCCCACCCCCCAGGAGTGATGGAGGAGCAGTGGGTGCAGCAGGAGAGCAGGCGGCACGAAGCAGGACGTGAGCCCGAGGCTGCTGGCCCCAGGGGGTGCGACGGAAGCCATGCCACAGCGACGGGGGGCCTGGGCACGTCAGCGCTGACAGACGGAGACACCCCCCCTCCCCAGCTACACACGACCCCGGAGCCCACACAGCAACCTGCCCCCCCAACACGGGCCGGACACACGGACACACAGACAGCCCCAGCCCAGGTCCCCAGACACACACTGCAGAGATACAGACCCTCCAAAGCTGCTACAACCCCCCCCCCATGCACTGTACGTATACAGGCACTCAGCGCCCCCTGCGCCTGCCTGGGTCCCAGCTACACCCCAGCGTCCGACACGTGCACCCCCGCTCGGCAGCCCTTTGTGAGTGAAGAGCCCCCAAGCAGCCGGCTGGCGCCAGGCAGCATTAACCCCTGGAGTACCGGGCGCTGGGTAGCAGGGACGGGGAAGCCGGTGAAACCTAATTTCCCTCCCACCTGGGGCTGGGGCTGAGACGGAGAGCACGGGGAAACGCAGGCCCAGCCAGGGTCACACAGGATCTGGCCCCTCCGGCCCCCAGGGACTCGCACGCCGGCTGTGCTGGGAGAGACTAGAGCAGCAGGAGCAGCTGTTGCTGTGGAGGATTTGGGGCCCAATCCTGCCCCCACCAACTTGGGGGGGGGGGCGGATCGGCGCTGCTCACCCCAGTGGGAGCAGGACAGGATGCCAGCTGCGGTTGTCGCCCCCCGCTTGCTGCAGCACCGCTCACGGGCCTGGGCGCCTGGAGCTGCTCGGTCGGTTCTAGGCCCGTTAGCGGCTGGCCCAGCCCTGCTGCTGCTGCTCCCAGGGGAGCGATGCAGGATGGGTCTGGCGAGACGGGGAGATCTGCCAACAGCATCTTCCCCCCACAGCCGTTCGGTGCTCCCAGTGTCTGAGCCCTCATCTGCCCAGCCAAACCCCAGCACCTATACTGCAGCCCCCAGCCCCGCCCACTGGGCCACGCTGTAACCCCCTACCCCTGACCACTGGGCCACGCTCCAGCCCCCAGCCCCGCCCACTGGGCCACGCTGTAACCCCCTACCCCTGACCACTGGGCCACGCTCCAGCCCCCAGCCCCGCCCACTGGGCCACGCTCCAGCCCCCGGCCCCACCCACTGGGCCACGCTGTAACCCCCTACACCTGACCACTGGGCCACGCTCCAGCCCCCAGCCCCGCCCACGGGGCCACGCTCCAGCCCCCAGCC